TTTTTTTTTTTTTTACTGTAAACCTACTCTCTTCTTCCATATTCTACTCTGTACAGACAAGTCACTAAGTAGAGGTGTACTGGGGAGTGTATACTGTAGACGCTTCAGAATTTTCTGTGTTTGCTAAATCCAAAAGTAGTGAAGAAATGTCCAAGGCGCAGAAAGTTCTTGACTCTGACTCTCAAAAGGACCGAGCACCAAACTTGGGACTGGATCATTTTATGAAAATCTTTTTATACTGCAGGAGAGCAATGGTAATGTAGTCCCTTCATTTGCTTATATACTAGACATAGATCTCAGCCCGTAGAGCAGGCCTGTAAGTTTGTTGTATCTCATGTATACATAATTTGAGTTGATTTCATCCTATTGCTTTTAGTTTCAGCCACTTTGGAGATTCACCTCCTGCCATGGTACTGAAGTCACATTGTCAGGGAGACGTGTGTTCCTTTAGTTATCTGCCATCCATTCACTCAGAGCCCAGGTGCCCTTTGTTCCTCTCCGTGAATCTTCTGTGTTGCAGGATATGGGATTCTCTTGTGAGGCCAATGGTTCCTCCATGGGCTCTTGACGTCCCCACAGGTGTCATCGCCTTCTCTCTATTCTAGCACAGGCTAAGATCATTCCAGGCTACACAAAGCTCTGCACTTGTGCCAGCCACTTGCTTCTATTGATTGCTTATGTCTTTGCATGCCAGTGCTTTTCTCTCTCCTTTCTAAATCTTCTGTGGTGGATTGTGAAACGTGGAATTGGAATCAGCAGTTGTAATGAAATCTGGAAGAGCTTGTATTTCAACCTTCTCAAGAGGTGAGGAGAACTCTATCCTTTGTAGCCAAGAAAAGAACATTTAAGTTTCCATATCCTCCAGGGAATGGACAAAATGATTTGACAAAGTATGGTGCAAATCTGAAGCATTGCCCTTTCACCATGAATGTGAAGTTCTGTCCTGCTTCCTTTTGGGTCATGTCACAGGTTCTTGCTCATCGAGGGGGCTACTGGACTCTGCTTCAGAACTGCTGTCGGACCCTCTGGAACTTCACTCAGGAGCTACAGATACTTCTGAACCAGGCAGTGGATTTGTACAAGACATTTCCCGTGAGCCAGGATGGCTTTCTCTGCACCTCTGTCTTACCATTCTACTTGGGAGCAGAATTGCTTATTGACATGTTAGTACAACTACAAAATACCAGTTCAGTTCAGGTAGGGTTATTTTGGTAATTACTATTAGTGTATTCAATTAAGAATGAATATATATATATATATATATATATAGCCAGTATTATTTTGTTCACAATACACAACTTGCATCAATGCAAAAAATATTTAGAAATTAAAAATATTTTATTCACTTATTTATTTTTTATTTAGTACAGGGTCTACAGGGTCTTACTACACCGATCAGACTCATAGTGATTCTCCTTTTTTTAGTCTTCCGAGCACTGGGATTACAGGCACATGCCACCATGCCCAGTCTTAATCACTGTCTCGGTGCGTCCAAGGGGCAGGGACAGCAAGGCATGCTGGGCATTGAAACCTGGTCCCTGCATCTGCCTAAGCAGGCGCTTTAATCTGCTGAGCTATCTGGCCAGCTCAAGACATTAAAAATATTTTAGCTTGATTATTGCATTTGTTAAAGAGAGACAAAAGTAAAATGTCCTGAATTCAACTCCTATGAAGTACTGTTAGTGCATTTAATCTACATAACAATTTTTTTGACAGATAAAGAAATACATTGGCAGATTCTAAGAGAGATAGTATAGATTACTAGTTAATCTTTATTCCATTCTTCTCTCTATTTCTGTCCTATTATTCTAACTGTACTATAATTTGCAAACATATAACATCTACTATTCTGTTGGTTAAAGCACAGAAATAAAAAATAGAAACTCATCCACATGTCTGACACTGACAAAGGATCTACAAACTGCAGTACAGGGCTTCAGGGTAAATCCTGAGGGGATTTGACTGACCTTATCAGATAAAAAAGTTACATTTCTTGTTATATAAGGTCTTGCTTTATCTTGGTCTTAACCATACAGCAGAAAAGTATAAAAATGAAAAGTATAAAAAATAAAGCCATATTAATATGCTGAGCTGCAAAAGGCTTAAGTCAACAACCTTTGACATTGACAGTCTTAAGGAAAACCCACTACTATTATGGGTTACTGGACTATATTGGAATATTTTGCTGAATTCATGCACCTACAATATTTAAGTGACAATGGATTACCCTTCTCTGACAAAACTAAACAAAATAGGGGGATACAAATGAACGACCATTTTGTATCTGTATATCAAAATAGTTAGGATAGATATACAGCTGCATTCTCTTGATTCAGTGAATAAAGAGGTTTGTTCTAATAGTGTTTGTGGACAGGATATCATGCCTGCATCTTGTGCAATGAATAACCACTAAGATAATAATATGCAATGTATTAATTATTGAAACTGTGCTAGTAATCGGTTTTTAAACTGTCTCATTGCTATTTGTTTCTCAATAAAATTATTTAAAAAAATAAAAAAATAGAAACAATAGATATAAATAGATATAAAATAGCCTAAACACCAAAAAGTGGTAACCGTATAACACACTGAACCATGAAGTTTATAAAATTTCTACATGAAAATATAGGACAACAATAGCACAAGAGACAGAAGGGGTAAATTAAATAACTCAATGAACAAATTAAAAAAAAAGAATCTGTTTAAAAAGGAGACATTATGTAAAAGAGACATTGTTTACAAAAGACACTGTTACCCTAAAGAGACACTACTCAGAAGCAAAGGCACGCACAACCAAAAGCTGTCCAGAAATGCTATCCGCACTCCTCTGGGATGATGTCGCTAAGTGCTCCTCAAAACCACATTGAGACAGTGCCTCTGGTCAGCGAGAAGAGAGCGCGTCAGGAAGCCAAGAGATTCATGGCTCTTCAGTGAGAGCTGGCAAGGCTGAGCCGAAGGGAAGCTCTTATAAACTGCAGGGGCGTCTGCAAGTTAGTACAGCCATTAGGGAAGACAGTTCCCGTGAAATACGTTCAGCTGTGTTAAATTTCATCTTAATTTCACCAGCCTGTACTTCCGGAACTGTAGCCTCCATTAGAATTGGGACCACAGGTCTGAGGGCAAGCGTTCCCAAGCCACACACAACAGCCATTCAGATGGAGAGCTGCACAGGGCAAGATGTGGGATGGGGAGCTGGGTGTCTGTCTCTGCTCTCCAGGATCTCTGTTTATTCTCAGTTATCTGAAAGTTTTTCAAAACCAGAAATTTAAAATATACTGTGGACAAGCAAGCTTGTGGAACCGGGGATTGAACGCAGGCCCTTGCGCTTCCCAGACAAGCACTTACTCTACTGAGCCATCTCCCTGGCCCCATTTATTTACTTTTGAAAGCTTTCAGAATGTTCTTTAATACAAAGCTGTAAAGAGTTACATATGGCCCATAATACTAAATCTTCAAAGACTTAGAATCTGTCCTTGACTGTGTAAGAAATCTCAAGTTCCATGTACTGTTTTGAAACTCAAATGTTTTACCTTTTCTCTCAGTGTTTTTAGGTAATGTTACTAAGATTAGGGGTCAGTAGTAAGCACTCTTTTTTTCCTGCCTCAGCTGGGATCGGTTGGGAGCTTGGTGCTGAATAAGACAGGTGGAGGTAAAACGTCAGCCTTGCTGCTGCTGAAATCTGTACTGAGGAAGTAGTAAGCGCAGAGGACTCCCCGCCCCTCGTAGCAGAACGAGCTTGCTAGAGAGCACTGCATGACTAATGGATCGAAGAAGCCCCTCTTCTTCAGGGACAGAGTGGGATGAAGAAAGGTCCCTGTGGGAGCTTGTGGGCAGGCAGGCTCTGGCAGAGCCGTCACCCAGGGAGGTCAGTTGAGTTGGTCTGATCTCTTGCACATGCAGAAGGATGGGTGAGTGAAGGCCCGGAGCACCTCCACCTGGCCTTCGGAGCCCCCTTGCACACTGTGCTGCTGGAGATCTTCCTATGGAGCCAGAGGCTCAGGGATTTTGAGCTCAGAGTATCAGTAAAAGGTCACTCAACTTCTACAAAGCTCTCCTGGGGATGGGGCACTAGGCTAGGGAACAAGTGCGGCAGCTGTTGGTTAGCTGCGTGCAGTTGGACCTGAGGTATACAGTTGTACCTCACAGCCTGATGACTTCCAGGGTCTCTTAACTTCAGGGTTATGACTCCTGGCCTGTACTTTTGCTGATCTTTAATGGCCTCACTAGAATAGGAGAAGCTGGCCTTGAGTTAACTCAGCTGTTCTGGGCTGTAGACTCACTGTCACTTAAATGGATCTAAAAAGCTTTGCTTTGCCTCAAAAATTTTAATAGATAAATACATCAGATGTATTTATGGGAAATCAGTACAATTTTGTAGTTAAAATAATGGCTACTAGTTTCAGTAACTCAGATGGAAAGAAGGTTTAGAAGACTTCTTCCACGGGTTGGGCTTATATTAAGGAAGTGGTTATAAATTATTCACATTAGTCAATGTAATCATATTGTTAGGGAATTTCATTATTTATATATACTAGAACTTGTTTTTCCTGAAAGCTTTGGCATATTGATTTATTACCATTACATAAATGAATAATGACTATATATAAGGTATAAATCTCAGCCTATGTTTTCTGGTATAGTAAACATTAGCTGTATGTGATTATTTAAACGTAAGCCTGAAATATTTAGCATAAGCATTTTATTTTCATTTTTAAAAGAGAATAAAAATTAAAAACACATTAGAAATGAACAGAATTTTACTAAACAAGATGATAGGAATTCAGCGTGGTGCATATTGTTGTCTTCAAATTAGTTGTTCAGATTACCAGATAGAAACATGCAAGACTGGTCAAAAATTTAAAAAGAGAAAAAAACATTAACTGTTCCTTTAAATAGACCAGTAGAAATCAGTAGTGCAGTTGCCCAAGCTATCCTGTGTATATATATTTTCCCCTTCCTTTTGTTTGCCTTTCCCCCATCACAGCTGTTCCTTCTCTTTGAGCAGTTTCTTTCTCTTTCTCAGTATCCATCGTACCTTTCAGATCCTATTTGCTCTTTCAGATTCTTATGCTAGGGAGACAATATGATGTTTACACATGCAGGTCTGATTTATTTCACTTAGGAATATGATCTCTAGTTGCACCCATTTACCTGTAAAAGTCTCGAGTTTATCTTTTTTATAGCCTAGTAATACTCCATTGTATAAAAGTATCACATCTTTTCTGTCTCTTCCTCTGTTGAGGGCATCTGGGTTGTTTCTGAGATTTGGCTCTGACAAATTGCACTGCTATAGACATGGGTGCACATGTATTGCTGTGGTATGATGTTTTCAGTTCTTCTGGAAAAAGAAGAACTGGGTAGGCTGGGAATACTTAAAATTAAATAAAACTGAAAATTCAGTTGCACTAATCCCATTCCAAATACTTCGTGGCTATGTGTATCTAGTAGCTATATTGAACTATGTAGCACATTTTAATAGTCACAGAAAATTCTATTGAACAGCACCACCCAAATCATCAAGCTTTGGTTTGCAGAATAAAAACATGCTTAACATTTCCTTTCTGGTTCTGTTCTTTTCCATGCTACAAGATTCATTTTTCAGAAACAATAAGTAATAAAGTCAGAAATTACACGAATTGTTCTTCACTGTGCCATTTTCAGTCTGTTGAAGACAAAGGAGAATTCAGCGTGCCAAGCTGTTATGGGAATATCAAATATGATAATGGTGGTTCTAGCCTCACGTTTGAGGATCCTTTGGATGATGTGAATATGGTTGATTTGAAATGGATCCATGACTTTGTACTGAAATCCCTGGAAATTTTATATCAAGTGGAGAAATGGGAAACGCTAGTGTCACTTGCCATTCAGTTCAATATGATTTCACAGTAAGTACAGCTGTCATTACGAGTGAGAGACTTTGCTGCACGGGAGGTCTTTTAGCTAAGTTTGCTTTTTTAATGCATTCTTTACTCCTGCTAGTGAGAGGTATGCAGAACAGGTGACCCCACTCCTGGTTTATGCCCAGCGTCAGCTTCTTCTGAGAATACAGAATTTCAAGGGCCCGGATGTTACCCAACAAGCTTGCGCAAGATATGAGGCTGAGTATGGAGAGAAGGTAAGTTTAGTTCTTTTATGCATGCAGTCGTGAGTTTCCTTTAAGTATGCATGTAAAAAACCGAGGATTTAGGAATCAGAAAAGTATTATCTCATTTAGGCGTCTGTGGTGGTTTGGCAGCTGGTGGTCAAGTTATTACACCCAGATGAACTGAATTATAGTGCTGGGTGTGGGAGACCTGCTTTAGGATTGTTGCCAACAGCATAGGAGGTGGAACTAGAGAATCTGTTGGGAGGCTGTTAGGGAAGGTGTTTGGAGAAACCGGTGGAGCTGCTGGAAGCTGCTGGTTCTCTTAGGCCGTTCTGTTGGGGAGCTTTTTCATGATGGCTATCCGGATGAGCTTGGTTGTTCTTGCTGGAGGAGGAACTTGGGACCTTGTTGTCACTGAGAATGGCTATGGTTTACTTTGGGGGAGCTCTGGTCCTCACCTTGAGCATTGCTTGCTGGCTCCAGAAGGGAAGATGGCGCACAGCTCAGCCTCCTGGAGAAGCTTATTGCATTGGCTTTCTTGGTGGGAACTCAGCTTTTCTTATCACTGGAGGAGCTTGGGACCTCACTATTGCTGAGAATGGCTGTGGTTCCTTTTGGGGGAGCTCTGGTTCCTACTTTGAGCCTTGCTTCCTAGCTTCAGTTCAGATCCCTCAGCCTGCTAGCACAGATCTTTCAGTCCACTGGCACAGGCTTTCTGGCTTCTACCACTAACCTTTGGGCCTTCCCAGCACAGATCTGTGAAACAGGCCTTCAGGAGAAATTGTCACGGGCTCTAGGCCTCCAGTTGGACTTGTGGGAGGCCTTGTTATGGGCTCCAGGTCTTCAGCTGGACTCATGCTGGACATTTTCATGAGATCCAGGCCCTCAGCTGGATTCTTTGTCCTTTAGTCTGTGGACAGATTTCATGCTCTGTCTTTGTATATGATTCTTTGGGTGACTGTTATAAATAATCTTACAAAATATGTGTCCTGTTTTGTATTGTTCCCCTGGAAAGCCCTTGACCATGACAGCATTTATCATTCAGATCACTGACATTCGTGAGAGCTAACTGCTACCAGTGTTTGCTAGACATAGGGCGGACAGTAATTAAGACCCTGCCTACCAGTCACTTGTATCCAGCTCAGGGCTGACTTACCAATAGGCATAGCTGGGACAGTGCTTGGGGCCTACAGTACTTTTGGGGGCTCACTAGAAATGCCTCAGTTGCTTGTCAAATAAGAAAGTAACATGTAGGTTAAAGAAAATGTTTTAATTTTTAGAATTAGTAGTTTTATACTTATACCAAAATAATCATTAAGAGCAATGCTTATATGGCAGCGTAGGCCCACAAAGACAGAAGTGCCAGCATGCATCAAATAGAGAAAAGAGGCGAGTTAATACTCCCACTGTTTTACCAACAATACAGTAACCACTTGATCTGAGCCAGTGCCTAGGCCACAGTCTGTGTCCTGCCCAGAGGCCCCTGGTGTACACGGGCTGGAACCCAGTCCCTTGCAGAGTTGCCTCCACCTGTTTTGCACCTCTTCTGGCCTGGTGGGCGCCCTGCCTCCTGTGCATTCCATTGGGTGAGAGTGCAGTGGAGTTCCTGCTTCATGGAGGTCCGTTGAGAGGTGGACATTGGGCTCAGATAGGAAACATGTAAGCGGGGCAGTGGAAAGCTTTGTGATCATCCTACATTTTCTAAAGAAAATGAAATAAACCAGCGGGGTATGGGTGGGCAGGCACAGGAGCTGGGAAGTTTAGCAAGGCCTCTTGGATAGGGTGATGCCTACCGAGAATGCCATACGTGGTCTGGGAAAAGAGCTCTCCAGCCCCAGGTGAGCAAGGGCAGGGATCCTGAGCTGGGACAGCAAGAAGGTCTGCACAGCTGCGATGGAGCTGAGAAAACACAGATCCACTGCAGCTGTCCCTTCTGGCCTTCGTTGTTGCGACTTCCTGTACTTCCCGGGGTCCTGGTATGCATGCACCCTGAGACTCTGCTCTTGGACCACCTGTCTTCTTATCCATGTACTCTCCCTCAGGAAGTTAACTCAGTGTGGCTCGAAGTGCATCTTTACAATGACCGCCAACTCCATCTCCACTCTGAACCTTCCTCCTGAGTGTGGCATTGGAGTATCATGCATCCCTGCATCAGTGAGGCTTCAACTGGAGGAGCAGGATTAGCAAGACAGCTCTCGGTCTCTGTCCATCTCAATCTCTGGATTTATTGCAAGGAATAGGCTTACGTGCTTGTGAGTGCCAGTTGAGCGAGTCCAAGGGAGGCTGAGCCTCGCAGGCATAGGCAGAAGGTGCTATCCACCACCAGACCACAGAAAGAGCAATTGTAGCTCTGACCAACACTTGGTGCTTGGAGCCCTGGAGACCTGGTGTGATTAGGTCAGGCCCATGGAGAGAGATCTCCCCAAATTAAACTCAGTTCATGAAGAAATTTAATTCATACTTACAAATCCCCACCATAGCAGTGCCTAGGTTAGTGTTTGGTTGAAGAACTGAGCTGAAGTGTGGACATGCTGCCGCATGGAGGCTTCGCTCCCTTTCCTCATAGCTTTGCTCTAATGAAGGTGATTTATGAAAGCCACTGTGCTTCCTGGTCAGAATCATCTCTCTGACACAGATACACTTCAAATTTAGCATGTCTCTAAGAAGCCTGTTCTCAGAGAAGCCTGTCTTTACGAGGCTCTCCTCCTTCACTGCAGACATTCTTATTCTTCTAGCTGCCAAGGTCAGACACCTGGGAGACATCCCTGATTCCTGTCTTGTTTCTTTCCATACTTCAGATTAGTTTCCAAGTCTTCTGCCCTCAAAATGTGCTCAGAGCCTGACCCTTTCTCACTACTACCATCCCTCGGAGCCAGCCGTTGCTTTATCTGCCCAGCTTAATTACCCTGCAGCCCTCTCTGGGCTGGAGTCTGTTCTTCCTGCAGTGGACAGAATGAATCTTTAAAAGCCCAAGCCGACCACGTCACATCTGTTTCAGTTCGCATGATGGCTTTCCCCACTCACAGCATCAGGAGCTTGCTGTCGTGACCGCAGCAGTGTGCACATAGCTCACATGTTACCTGCACCGCTGTTGGCCCTTGTGACTCAGGTCCTGTGACTCCATTTCAATGTGCTGTGTGACTTCTCTCTTCTGTAAGATGCACCTGCCTCAGGGTCTCTGCTTCTGCTGTTGCCCCTGCTTGGAATACCCTTCGACCCCCAGTACACACTGATTTTCCTCCATCTTTTGCAAATTGCAAAGTTTTGCCATGTGTTGCCTTCATTCTGAGGCTTTTCCTCTTTCTCCTGTTTAAAGTTATATGTGCCTTTTTTCTACTGGCTGCAACAGCCATTATGATTCTTTAATATTTGCTGTTGGTTACTTTTCTCTTATTTCTGAGATAAAATACCCAGCACCTAAAATGAAGGAAGGCAAGGTTTATTTAGCTGAAAGTCTATGGAGGTTTCCGTCCAAAATTGCCTGGCTCCAAGGCAGCATATCACACGGCAGAGGAGCAACTGTTCATGGTGGCAGAAGGCAGCAAAAGCAACAAGAGCAAAAAGGGAGGGGTATGAGAGCAGGCCTCTTGCCTCCCTTCCTCATATTGTACGCAGGCTGCCTGCCCCAGGGTGGGTGTAGCACTCACACTCACAATCCAGTACTGGACCATGAATCAGTCACAAACTCTAGAACCTGCCCCCCATGACTGCATGAGGCTCTGGGGGGACATCCAGGCACAAACCATAACATACACTATAAACATACTCTACTATTTTATTTTTCTTCTTCTAGTAGAATAAATTTCATAAAGTGGCAGTGTTTTGTATTTTGTTCTCTGATGTATTATTCTTTCAGTATTCAACACATAATAGGTGCTCAGTAAAGCTTTAATAAGTTGCACAAGTTGGAAAGACCAAGTCAGCTAGAGCCTTGCCAGATTGTGAGAAGGAATTTGGATTTTATTAGTCTGTTTGCATCTCATAATGGAAGTACCCATGAAGGAAAAGAAAAGAATTGTCTGCTTGAGAAGGAGGGCTGTATTTTGAGTGATAGGTTAGATCAAGGAATAGGATTAGAGAAATGGAGAGAGGAGAGTCTTATGTTCCTTAAAAGAATTCGCTTCTATCTAAAAAGTTTCTGTTTTCAAGTATTTTACAACTCGAGGGCTCAAATATCTATTAGAAGATGAATGCCGCAGAAGAGATTAGTTTTGAGAAACTTTATCTGGAAAGTTAAAATTGCCTTAATTATGAGTAGGATGGAAGAACCTGCCCTTACAGGAGCAGCCGATATTTTAAATATGCTTCAACTTACATAATGGAAGATATATTTAGACTCCCGAATTTGTGGAATGCTAGGAAATCATACTCTAATTGCTCTGCATAATTTGCCTAATGCTCTTCCAGCTGTGCTATACACAAGGAATATGAAAAATTACGCAGCCACGGTTCCCCCCAAAGTTCTCACGATTGAACGCTTTCTGTCAGCTTTTATTTGTAGCATTGTCTTATATCACTTCATCTTGACAAAAAAATGAGATAAATATTTTAAGCGAGCCAAACTGTTTAACTCTAACAACTGACTAAATAATATTTGTTTTCATCTTAAGATCACCTGCCGAAATTTCATGGGGAAGCAGCTGAAGATTGAGTCTCTGCCCAGTGTAGAAATGGATGCAGGAGGCAGTACAGATTTACTAAAAATGCTCATCTATTCAGGTCAGACTCAATTTTAGATTGAACATGAATGTTCTGTACATGAAACTTTGCTATTGTGTTCTGCACGTCAAATCCTCCATGCTTAAAACATTTGCAGAAACTATTTTTTTGCTGGTTTATTTGAAAATAATCCCCTTGATGTTTGCCACTTTCTGTTGCCAGGCATGTCAGTTGTGGGGGATCAGAACGCATTACCAGAACTTGAATCTGTAAGTTAAAGAAGGGAAATAAAGAAAAGAAATAGGCAAATTGATGGAAAAAAGGAAAGATGGAAAAGGCAGTTTGGACATTTTCCCATTTCGTTGTTGCATTTGGTGTCTCCTGGCTAGCTGAGTTCCTGCTGTGTCCTTCGTTTGGCCCTGACCCCTGTGAAGGGGCCGGCTCCAAGATGGGTGCGCAGCGCTTGCTCTGCCCGTGTGCTCCGTGCTAGCGTGCTGCTCTTGTAACTAGCAGGGCTGACTTGGGGCTGGCGCGCCCTTTTGCCTTATAGTGGACAAACCTTTTCAGAATGCTCCTGTCCATGAAACTGGAAGAAATGAGGCAATAGGGAAAAAATGAAAATGTAAATAGTGCCTGCTCTCTATTACACTGCTCAGGTTAGGAAGAAAATGTAAGTCTTCTCTTTGAAGTGCTAGAAGTCTTGCATTTGTCTTGATTTTATGTGTGTGTGTGTGTGTGTGTGTGTGTGTGTGTGTGTGTGTGATGATTCATCTCACTCACCCATTCCCTTATCAAGGCCATCAAGCAGCTTGTCACTAGTTCAGCAAGTGTTTACTGAATAGCTACTACTGTTTTCAGTGCCATAGTAGATTCTGAGATGACAAAGATGAATTAGACTACAGAGCTATTATCTACTTTACGGTCCTTTGAAAGAGTTCAGTAAATATATCAGGGATTATAATACACAGCGCTAAAGTCCGTAACATTAGTACTGCTGTTGTTATAGACAATAAAAATTAACAACTAGCCCCTGCTTTTCAAAGACAGCAAAAAGCCAGAAAGCTGAGGTTGAAGATATGGACAGGTGTTAGAAGATAAGGTGTCTTAGAGACCAGAAGGAAGAGGTTCAGCATTATCTGGAGAGCTGAGTTATGCTGGTGAAAAGAACTTCATGAAGGAAGCGAGAGGACAACAATTACGCTCTTGAAAGAAGCCTGCATGGAAGCAGGCGAGTGACTGTTTGCAACTCCTAAGTGAAAGCGGATATGACCAAGGCTTGGGCCTGGGTGGTGAGGACAGAAGGGACAGCTATTAAAGGTGGAGGAGAGCCATCCGATGCGCTCTGGACTGGCTGGGGTGAAAGATGCAGAGGGAATGGAATTCAGAGTCTCAGTTTCTTAGATGGATCATGATGCCTTCCCACAGCCAGGGAAATCCAAGGGAGGCATGGGTTTGAAGTAAAGCTTGCTGGAGTCCCTGGATGATCCCTGGGTAGAACTATCTGCACATGCGTGGGTGTATCCAGGAGCCCTCAGGAGAGAGCTTGGTTGGAGAGCAGTATCTTAATCATTAATATGTTGGTGATGGTTGAAGTCAGAGACTTGGCTGATACCACCCAGGGGGTTATATGAAGTATGGACCTCAGGGTAGCCTCCTGAATAGTGTCAACATTTTGGAAATTGTACCAATGCAAACAGGCTAGGGCCGTAGAGCAGTAGCAGGTAAGCCCTGGGTCTTGTAACACACAGGAGACACTTTCCCACTCATGCTACCACGTCAAGTGATGTTGAACACTGGCTGCTGCCCATCAGGATGGAATGTCCACCTTGACACAGCTTCTGCGACTACTTCAGAGGCAGGAGCAGAGTGCCAGGGCTGCCTCAGGGGAGCTCTAGTGAGAGGTTGTCCTGGAGGGCTCTGGGCACAGCCTGGTGAGACCACACAGGCCTGTGCTCGTAGGTGCATGCGTTTCACAGAGGGCAACGCGTGGATTCTCTTATTTAATTACCGTGACAGTTCCAGTGAACTGCACACCAGGCCCTCTTACAAATGCTTTGTGAGTATTAGCTCCTAACCACCTAATGAAGGCACTTTATTGTTTCTATTTTTCCAGCAAGATAAAGAGGTAGGAAATCATGCCTTGGCTCATAAAGCTACTACTAGAAAGTGATGTGTGGCGTGTCTGCGCACGTTTCTTTGCCCCAAGTTGGAAAGCGTGTTCCTAGGGCTTGCACTAGAGATGAAGAGGCGTGTGCCCTAACAGCTATTGTGGCACCAAACAAAGGAAGGGCAGGACGTGAAGAGGTGGGGGACACAGCCCGAGAGGATGGATACCCAACAGACGAGAGTGGGACGTGCAGGGCTGAGGCAAGAGGGAGCTTTCAGGAAGAGAAGCCATCAAGTCAGCGAGGTCACATTATGAGGACAGGCACTGGCAAGTGGGAGAGTGCTGTCACTGCTTTTTGCTGTGATGCAGCTGAGCCCTGCTCTTGTTGTCTCCCCTTCCTGAGCTGCTTTTCCAGATTCCTGACTGCAAACCCTTGGCCGCCTCTAAGTCCTACCACCTGTCCTGTCAGCAAGACTGATCCTGACTGTGCTATTCGAAAACTGCTTCCTCCTAGTTTTCTGGATGACCCTGTGCATCTGTACACTGAAGTGCTTCTCAGCATCAGAATCAGTTACAGTATTTTCTGTACTTATTGATTACTAATCTGCTTTCCCTACAGTATAAGCCTGGTGATGCAAAGGACCATTGCTCTATTCCCTGGTATAATCCTCAGTGTCTTGTGCGTAGCAGGAACTTAGCATCTAATTGCTGCATGAATGGCTTTGTGACCTTGGAAATAACCAGGAGAAGAGTAGGGGTATGGAGCTCAGCCTGCAGAGATTCACTGAGTGTAGGAGGCTCAGCAGGGACAAAAAGAGGGAGAGGGGACCTGCCCCTTAGCTCAGTCCTTTAAGTGGCTGCTTCAACAAAGCAGTCAGACTCAGGTTGCTGTGGTTCCATCCCCACAACTCAAGCCAGCCAAACCTGCCCTGAAGACATTCAGAGGAAAAAAAAAAGAAAGGAGAGCTGCAGAAGTCAGGGGATGTGGGGAGCTCAGGGTGTGTGTGTGGGGGGCAAGTCCCGGGCAGGCCTTTGCTCTGTTGGGTGCCTTTTTTTTTTTTTTTTTTTTTTTTCGGGGATTGAACTCAGGCCCTTGCGCTTGCCAGGGAAGCGCTTATTCCACTGAGCCATCTCCCCACCCCCTGGGTGCCTTTTTGATGGAAGAAAAGGAGCTTATTTGTATACTAAATGGGAAGAACCATTTGAGAGGGAAATCTTAAGAGACAGGAGAGGGGATTTTTGGAATAAGCACCTTGAGGAGAAAAAGAGAGGGAGGCACAGGGGGATTAGCTTCATACAGAAGGGTAGAACCCACCTGATAAGGCCCTGAGGAAGGAAGGAGGGAGGAAAGGAAAGAAGGAGCAAAGGAAAGGAAAAGAGGGAGGGAAGGAAAGGGAAGGAAGATGGAAAGGGGGAAGGGTGTTCTGACCTCGAGTTGGTAGGTAGGCAGGGTAGCAGATGAAGTAGTTCTCACTGGGTGTGGGAGGGTTTCTTAAGGAAGCAGGGAGTTGGGTCACAGCCAGGGTGCTGGGGTAGCAGATTTCCAGAGGAGTGCGACAGAGGAGTGAGTGCCAAAGGAGATGGACAGGAAGGAGGCCTGGAGGATGGTTCCGGTGGGTGCAGTCGGTGGAGAAGCCTTGTAGTCTCTGCTAGTGCAAAATCCAGTGAGCTCCCCATCTGCGGGAAGCACCAACCATCTGCACCAACCATCCGCGGGATAGCCATCTTTGTGGGACAGGGTCATGCTGGGTGACTAGTTCAAAGCATGTGATGCTTCAGGCGTGCGTCCTCCTTTTGACTTTGATCCTGCCTGTGAAACCTCAGGGTTTCTTTTAGGATCCATGACTAAAGAGCGTTGCTGCACATGTGAGAAAGTGTGCTACAGACAGTTGTCATCAAAAGGGTGACTAAGATGAAGGGAAGGAGGGAAGTGTCCCTTGCATAGCTCTTGCCATGGGTGCCAGGAGGTGTTTGCTGAGGACAGCACAACTTGTCAGTGAAGTACTTGGCTTGCCTCTTGGAAAAGCCATCCTGGAAAGGCAGGATAGGAAGGCAGGACAGAGAGCGGGAAGGAGGTACAGCCAGTAAAGAGTGGGCCCTTTGGCTCAGCTGTGGGTGGAACGATAACCAGTTTGGGTTATGATCAGAGCCATAATATTGAAGAGAAAAATTTGGAAGATACTGTATTGACATTCACCATATTTTTCAGAAGCTATATTTAGATTACTTTTTAGTTTTAGGTGGTAGCATTATTATATTCATATTACAGGTGAGAAAATTAAACATTACTTGCAAGTGGTGAGACTATGATTCAGACCCTGGTCCATCTAATTTCTCCCCACATGAGTGTTCCTCTGGGCTACCTGGTTCTCTACCACTCCTTTCCATCTCTAAATTTAGAGCTTATAAGAACTAATTTGCTATATTTCAGTGGTCATAGGAGACAGACACTTATTCTGACTTACTGTGATAGTATGGTAATTTTTAGGTGTTCCTGCAGCTAATTATAGGTTTTACATTGAATTGTTAAAAACCTGACTTGACTTCTGATTTGTAGCTCTTTTTTTTTTTTTTTTTTTTTTTTTTTTTTTTTTTTTTTTTTTTTTTGTATTTTAGGAAAGGGTCTACAGGGTGTTCAGGTTCTCACTACTAGATTGGACTCCTAGTGACCTGCCTGTTTACAGTCTCCCAAGAGCTAGGATTACAGGTGTGCCCCTCCGTGCCCAGTCTCAATTGCCATCTCAGCATGCATGCGGGGTGCGGACCAGCATGGTAGGCCTGGGGATTGAGCCCCTGGACCCTGTGCCTGCTTACAGGTGCTTTAATCCACTGAGCTATTTGGCCAGCCCTTGATTTGTGGCTCTTTATTAGACCCTAGGACCTCTGCAAGTAAGAGCATCTTTTGGCCTAGGCTTTTGGGTTTATTTGGCAATTTAGAAGATGCTGAATTTTT